CTCCAGCTTTTTACTTTGTGCTCGAGTAAGTACCGATACAACTTGTTCATTAAGTGATTTTAATTTCTCACACGTCATCGTAATCGGGAGTCGACTTAATGCGTCTGCAGCTGCATTATTTCGACCCGGGATATACACGATCTCAAAATCATACTCTTCGAGGTAGAGCCTAAACTTAGTTAGTCTACTGGACGGATCTTTTAAACTAAATAAATATACGAGCGGTTTGTGGTCTGTAAGGATTTTAAACCTTCTACCGTACAGATACGGTCTAAAATGCCTTACAGCCCATACTATAGCGAGCAATTCTAAATCGATTATAGGATATCTGCTTTCGGCTGGCGATAAATTACGACTTGCGTAAGCGACAACATGACCATTTTTGTTTGACAAAACGGCGCCTAATCCTGTTTTACATGCGTCTGTACGTAACTCAAAAATATTATTTTCCGAAAAATCTGGATACTGTAATACGGGTGGGGACATCAAAAGGGATTTTAATTGTTGAAATGATTTTTCGTATTCGGTTGTCCACTCAAATAAAACATCTTTTTTGCATAATTTATTTAACGGAAAAGCTATATTTGCAAAATTAGGTATAAATCTCCTAAAATAATTAGCAAAGGCTAGGTATCGTTTTACGTCGTCCGCGTTCGAGGGAACCGGATACTTGCGCAATGTCTCTATTTTGCTATCGTCGGGAAAAATACCTTGCGACGTTATTTTGTGTCCTAAATAAATAATTTCGGTTTGTAAAAATTCGCATTTCATTGGATTTAATTTTAAATTGACTTTTCGTAAACGTTCTAATACAGTTACTAGGTTTTTATTGTGATTATCTATGCAATTTCCAATAACGACGCAATCATCTAAATAAATAAAAGCTTGATTATAATTGATACCTGACATAGCAATTGTCATTAATCGCGAGAAAACACTAGGAGATGTTTTTAATCCCATAGGAGAACGCTTCATCTGATACATTTTATCAGTTGTAAAGGCTGTATATTTTCGGGATTCTGGGTCCAATTCAAGTTGGTACATTTTATCTACACTAAATGCAGTATATTTTCTTGAGTTTTCGTCTAAGCATAATTGGTAATAACTTTGTGATAAGTCTAGTTTTGAAAAATAAATACTACCTGATAAGGAATCTAAAATATCGGTTATATTTGGCAAAGGGAATTTATCATCTTTTATTCTGTTATTAAGTTGCCTATAATCAATAACTAATCTCCATTTCTTTTCGTTTGACCTATTTGTTTTTTTTGGAACTAAAAGAACTGGACTGGACCATTCCGAAATTGTTTCCTCTATTATATCGTTGGCTAACATATCATCAATTTGTCTTTGTACCTCTTGCTTTAGCGAATGAGGTATTCTATAGGGCTTTATATAACAAGGAGAGACATTATCCTTAAGGATATGCTATGAGTCATAACATTGGTAGTCGATAATTTATCTCCTGGAAGATGAAAAACATCTGCGTATTTCGCACAAATATGTTCGATACTACGTCTTTCTTCCTGATTCATATTTGACAAATTCAATAACTCAAACAATAATTTTACTCTACTCACACTATTCTGTTCTTCCGAAATACAACATACGTCAAAATAATTCAAGTCATAAATAGTTATATTTTGAAAATCATATTCTACTTCATTACTTGTAGTATTTAATATTCTCACGGGAATGCGACCATTATTTGGTTTCGCAATTAATCCAGCTACGAAAACTCCTTGCTGAATCTCTTTTGATAAAACAACGCAATCGCTAGAAAATGATGTAGGAATAAACCTTATTACTTCGCACCGCGGCGGAATCAAATGTCTGTACCTAGCGTTATACGATATTTCAATAGAAACATTCATGTTATTGTTAGTTAATTGTAACACACTATTTTTATAATTTATTATCGCATTATAGCGTTTTAAGAAATTATCTCCTAAAATACCATTAGCTGAGCAAGACATATTTTTAAAAACGTAAAACTTTTCTCTAAATACTATATCATTATAAACTAAATTTAAAAAAATATAACCTTCCGATTCTAATCTTCCACTTACTCCTTTAATAGTTATTCTATCATAACATAAGTATTTTAATAACTGAGGATACTTACTAAGCCATTCATACCTTAATACACAGAGACTTGCTCCACTATCGACTAAAAGATTTATTATCTCGTTACATACAAGGAAAGTTACTGTACTACTGTTATTAAAATTAAAAATAAAATTATCTGAATTAACGAAAAAAATCACTTGTCGTGTCATAATTAACATTTTGATTATTAGTACTAGTGGAGGGCAACTCGTTTTTTACGGGTGCCATCTCCTCAACGATAGTGTGGCGTATTGGTGCAGCTGATCTACGTGACCTTGTGCTATATGATCAACGTGCACGACCTTGTTGATATATTGCACCGCGCGGTGAGCTGTAAGAGCCGCGTGGTGTATTTGGTAAGGGTTTCGTATTATAGCGATTGTAATTATTTGAATAATTACCGCGTGCTCTCATAATGTTATTACTATTACGATGACAATAATTGCTACCACGATAAAAGGCTTTACGACGACTGACATTCATTACCTCGAATGATGAAGACAGGGACTGCTCATCCATGGCAGTTCTGATGGCTTCCGGCAAGGTCTCGAACTGTCTCGATGCTATAATAGTACTAAGTCTACGGTCATACAAACCATCTGCGAAGCGCTTGATAGCGATTCTCTCATTAATTGGTTTTAAAACTTTGTATGAATTAGGATCACCACTAGACTGAGCGATTGTTAAGTTGACAAATAAATTTTCTAATTCTGAACCAAACGATTCGATAGATCGATTGCCTTGTTTACTCTGATGCAACTTCCATTGTAAAGCGACTTCTGATTTTTTTTGAATAAGATGTTTGCGCATGTCATTTAAAAGATTTTCAATTGTATCATAAGTTGAACTCAGCCGTAACTGTGCGCTCGGTGAAAGTCGAGTTTTTAAAACAAATTCAATTAATTGACTTTTAGATTTGTCCGAGATCATCTTACTGTACAATTCTATACTATTTATAAGGGAATTAGTAACAGACTCTTGTCCCGTCATTACAGGCAATAAGGCTATGGCAGTTTTTAAATCAAACTCGCAATTATCACTCATTTTGACTGTTTCACTTTGTTTCTGCTCAGAAATTGATAACTCTATAATTTTATTAAAAATTTGATGAATTTCATTTATTATTTTATGGATGGAAGTTATATCACTAGTAGAAATCTGTTCAGTTTCAATTTGAGAATGCAACACAGACAAAATACTCTCCAACTTTGAATATAAAACTTTTGCCTCTTTAACTTTTTTCAAACCAAGGTCCTGTTGCCTTCCTTTAGGTCCTAATTTAACTAAATAATCTCTAAGATATACTAATGATTTATGTAGTTCATGAATTTCAAATACTACACCTGACATAATTATCTAAACTAAAAACAATAAAAACATTAAGTACGTGCTTCATAACGATAAATTGAAAATAAAAATAGTTAAAAAAAATATATGATTACATACTTTTTAATTTGGTTGTTCAAGATACACCTTTTTACTAAGATTCTTCCGAGGGACTGGGGCAGGCGAGCTGGCTGCAGTGGTGCTGATACGGTGATATGACTGGCTGCCGATGACCGATGATGACAGACGTTTTGGCCGGGCTGAATCCTGGACTCCTCTTGTTAAACTTCTTAGACTGCGCTGGTAGTGAGGTCAGCTCGTGAGATGGTGGCTATGTTGTTCCTGTTGAGCTCTCGTTGTATGGTGCGAACAAAATGTTTATTGCATTTCTTGAAAATGTAATAAATTGCAGCAAACAGGATTATGCAGACGGTCGCTCCGATCAAAATTTCTAGGATAGCCAATTTTTCGCTCTGGGATTGGGATGCTGTTGCCGAAGCTGCTCCATTTGCGTTTTGAGCTATCACAACTTGTTCTTTGGATGCCGATTTTCCCATTATCTGTTTCTTCTGTAATCTCTTGTAGTCTTAATTCTTCTGAAGTTTATCTTGTATTCTTGAAAAATACGGATTCTGAATTTTTTGGAAATAGGTTTGGTCTTCTTTTGACTGAGTTCTTGGTGGAAGTATATTACACGATTCGAATGGCAAGGGTCGCCATCTAATATTAGCCTATCGTTGGTTATTTAAGGAAACATAGTTTATAGTTTGAAGTCCGTTTATTGAGTGCAATAAAACATTACAAAATAATTGAATTAATAATATTGCTTACTTGCTAAAACTATCTACGTAAATAGCGGATTGCGACATGACCTAATTACGTTTCCGATAGGTATACACTACAGTGCATATCACACTATTTAAGGAATGATAAGAAGAGACTGTTGTTATGTTTACAAATAGCAAAAACGAAAAGCGGCATGTATGTATGTGTTGGCGCAAATGCACGGCATTTTCTGAGCTTTGTTCAAAACCTACGTTCTTTAATACGTGCAGCAAATTTAAACGTCTCAGGGTAAAAAGATTTATTGTGCGTAGGTTTGGAACGCCAGCCTGTCGTCCATTCGTAAAGAGTTTTTGGCGGGATTTCATGGAGTGTGCTTAGCGTCTTATTTTAATTATTTTTTTATTCGTTCATAGTGGATATTGTGAAATAAAATTGGTGTGATTTTGTGTTACAACCGTCTGCACAACTAACGAATTAGTGGAATCTTTAAAATATATATTTTTCCGGTCAAGTAGATGTGAGAACTTTACTGTAGTGTTAACTACCTCACAGTAGCTGACTGTAGACTGTATGGACATTTTTTCCTTGGCTTTCCCTAAAAAAAACATTGGTAAACTTTTTTCTAGAGGTGTAAAAGTAACGAAAAAAAGCGTACCCGTATGTATTCGTTACTTTAACAATAAGTACTCGTTACTATAGTATCGTTACGTTACTCGTTACTTCTCATAAAAAAATCGGTTTTACTATTTCGAAATTTTTAACCGTGAGCTTATGTTATATCACAATAAGATCGCAATCCATTATTCATCAATTATAATGATAAAGCAACAAATAGGTGTAAAAAATATTGTATTGATAATAATACTTAAATAGCATTCTAACGATGAATCAACATAAAAATAGTTTTGCTTAGAATGAAATTAAACATAACGAAAGAAAAAACTACTACAAAAATCTTTTGTTTTCAAAATAAAATTATAAAAACTATATAAAATTACGAAATCTATCAAGTTGGCTTTTTCGATAAGCTTCTGTGAGGTAGTCAACACGACAATAAAGTTCTCACGTCCATTTGACCGGAATAGCGTATATTTTAACAATTCCACTAATTCCTCAGTTACACAGACGGTTGTAACACAAAATCACACCAATTTTATTTCACAATATCCACGTTGAACGAATTTAAGAATAATTAAAATAAGACGCCAACCGCACTCGATGAAATCCCGCTAAAAACTCCAACGTACGTTTTTAAATTCTCCAAATATGCTCGCACATGCTTAATACATACGATCAGCAAATGCTTCTATATACACATCAACTGTACTTGCGTAAACTGAAACATGTAGATCATCTACATCATACTACGAAAAATGCGAGTAACGAAATTTATTTGTATGTAACGTTTCGTTACTCGGTACTAGATGGCGTACCCGTTACTCAGTACCGAATACATACGGTTTGCTACAGCTCTACTTTTTTCTTTACAAATTGCCTGAACGCACAAACCGTGCATGCCATAAAAAAGAAAAAAAAAATAGGACTACAATGTTTAAAGAAGTGGTGTTTTTCTAAATATTAACTTTATTGATGCTTTAAAAATGCCCCCTATAATTAACTTTATTGATGGTCGTTTAATTTGATAATTTATTTATTTCCGGTAAAAATGGGGGAAATCAACAAACACTCTGATTGGGATAATAATAAAGGACTTCGTGAACCTGTGAAAACGTTGGAGGTTAGCTTTAAATATTTTTCACTTGTAAAAATAACCTACTATTTACTGTCAAATATTGTAATAAACGGTTTTTATTTCTCAATCGAGACTTTGTATGAGAGAGCCTATAACAGTTCTTGTTTTCCAGGAAAAATGGAAACTTGTGCCGTCATTTTTGCAAGTAAAAGGATTGGTGAAACAACATATAGATTCTTTTAATTATTTTATTAATGTGGAAATCAAGAAGATTGTTCAAGCTAACGAAAAAGTCTTTTGTGAAGCTGACCCTTTGTTTTACATAAAATATTTAAATGCTTATGTGGGTACCCCAGACCTCGAAGAAGGATACAATGTTACTAAACCGACAACTCCACATGAATGCCGCTTGCGAGACATGACATATTCCGCTCCTATTACAGTAGACATAGAATACATTAGGGGTAACCAAAGAGTCATTAAAAATAAGCAGCTCATTGGAAGGTAACATTAGAAATTAAACTTGACAAAAATTTTACTTTAAAATTTATAAAGTTGCAAGAAACACAAGGAACAAATATGAAGTTATTGGCTTAAATTATTTAACATAATTTTGACAATAAATTTGAATTTAAAATTATATTTGTAATGAATTAAATCAATAATGGGCAAGTTTTCATAAGAAAAGCAAGTATTTAAAAGTGTTATGGTGTTTGTCTGTTTATAAATAGAGCAAAGATATAAAACAATCCGTGGTCACCACAGAGACTTGATGACATAATATTGTTTTGGTTCGCATAACAAATGTATTATATGAAATTTAAGGAAACATTTTGTTCTCACTTGGTCAGATTCGCAAAAGGTGTACTGTTTACTAGAAAACGCTTAAAAACACCATGTCATTTATGCTAGTTTATTTAAAAAATAAATACAAAAAAACACCAAATCCATCTAAGATTGAAAAAAACAGGTTAATATAACATACACAATAGCTTTAAACAAACAATTGCAAAAATGTTATTGCTGATGCAATTACATAGGGGGGCATTATAACAAGCCCTTACCGCCAAATTATCGTAAGCGACACTCGCCAAATTATCATAAGTGACACTTTTGTCGAAATGCGTTTTTTGTGGAAACTAATATTTTAAACTGTAACGGACCCATCTCTGTTGATATTTCCCTCCAAAAGAACACCGTTATAATATAAAAGAGGGAAGAATACAGGGAAATATCAACAGAGATGGGTCCGTTACAGTTTAAAATATTAGTTTCCACAAAAAACGCATTTTGACAAAAGTGTCGCTTACGATAATTTGGCGGTAAGGGCTCGATAATATGCTCTATACTTCCTCTATCTTTAGGAAAAAATAAAAAATCTTATGTCAAGCATGAATATTCACTGCACCTAAAATTTAGAATTAAAATGAATATACTGTATAGGTGTATCATATCTCATAAATAAACGCAATTTTATATAGTTTGGAAATTTATAATAGAATTATATAATATTTTTTTTCAGAATGCCCCTTATGCTGAGGTCTTCTAATTGTGTCTTGACTAATAAATCCGACTTTGAGTTAGCGCAGTTGAATGAATGTCCACATGATCCTGGTGGCTATTTTATCATAAGAGGTAATTAAGAGAGATATTTAAGTAAACTTAATAAATTACAAAAAAAAACTGCCTAAGTGTGGGTGATGAGAAATACCAATTGTTGGTGACTTGACCAGCAAATCCTTGCACATTACTTGTGATGGGCCCCCCCTTTCCGCACATAAACTCTCGTCTTGGTCCATTGTGCGTGCAGTATTGTGAGACCAGCTCAGCCAGCGCAGCTCCTTCCAGAAGCAGAGTAGCCTCCTGGGACTCTCATAGGTTTCTAGGAGTATCCTCGATGATCTGGATGAGTGCATTCCAGCATTGCATGAGCGGCTGTTTCATCTGCTACCAGACATCCTCTGCACAGGGAGGTTTGTGTAACATGTATGGTTAGTAAATACTTGTTAGGTGGGTAGTGCTTTGTTATTGTGCCTAGCATTACTCGGAGATCTATGTGGTTGAGTTTTAGTAATTTTCGGATTAGTTTAAGGTTTACACTAGGGAAAATCTCTTTAGATTGTCTGCAGCCCTCAGTATTGACCCATCGGGTGTTGTGGCACTGTAGAGTTCGTTGGCGCATCCAAGTACGAAGTTGGCTAAAAGGTATTGGCAGCAGGGGCTCAGGTGCTTCCACCATCTGCACTGTCCCTCTTCTCGCCAGTTCGTCGGCCGCGTCATTTCCCATTGAGCCGCTATGTGCCTTAATCCATTGCAGGATGACACTGTTGGTTGTTGCCATTTGTCCGAGTGCCAGGTAACATTCGTAAATTTGCTATGAGGTTTTGCTTTTGCTTTCCAGGGCTTTTAGGTCAGCCATACTATCAGAAAGTATACAATTATTGTATTTTATAGATCCTGACTTCCCTATTGATGACTGCGATGGTGACCTGGGTAATGGTTATACACTCACATTGAAATATTGAGCTGTGTTTACCCAGGGTTGTTGATATGTGGATGTTAAGGTCTAGACTAGAAAACTCCCGCGGCCGATCCAGAATTTTGAGATCCAGGCATTTTTGACCCATCTTTGTATATAGGCGCAGTCTGTCTATGTTTGACCAGTCCTTTTTGGCATCTTGTAATTCTATTTGATAATTTCTATTAAATGTGTGTATAGTTGGGATTATATCACAGCGGGCTATTACTAGAGGTTGATGTACTATGACCCTTTCCAGTATCTTTGAATGGACTCCCTGGTATTTCATCCATAGCCCTAGGTGATATAATTGTAGAGCTGCCATAGTTGCTGTATGAATAGATCAAGCAGGCTTACTATCACTTCAAAGGCATTTGTGGGTATGGATTTCATGCAGCCTATTATTGCCGAGCATGCAAGTCTTCTAGGTGATGAGTTGTCTGATAATGGAAGTCTAAAGCCATTTTGTAATCTTCAGTGCAAGGCCCCATGTTTTACCTAGGAGTCGTTTACATTGCCATAATGTGATCCAGGCTTTGTTTAACTTGTTGTCAAGGTGATTGTGCCACTCCAGGTGTATTTAACCTCGCCAGCTAGCGATAGTTTTGTGTTAAATAACTAGAGTAGGTTAACTACGTCCAAGGTATGTTTTTTCGTGAACATGACCTTCTCCGTTTTAGAGGGATTGACGAAAAGTTGATGTCTGTTGCACCAGTTTTCTTCTAGATTGAGAGCATTTCTCATTAGACTGCAAAGCACGTTTTGAAACGGCCCGCCTATGAGAATATCGTTCGCATAGCCGACTGTGTAGAAGTTGCGTTCGTTGACCTGACAAATTAGTTCATCAACTACAATATTGCACAAGAGTGGAGATAGAACTCCCCCTTGTGAACAGCCAGTAACTACTACTGGTCTCATTGTAGTGTTAACAGTTACTTGTATCGCTCTGTATTTCAATATGTTGTTGATCCATCCCGCAGTTGTAGGGTCTTCGCCATGTTTCACTAGTGCCTGGCTTATACTGGTATAGTTGGTCTTATCAAAGGCACATTCAATGTCTATGAAGACGCTCAGGGTTAATTGTTTGGATAGTAGTCCGCGCTCTTTTTGTGTGACTACGCTGTGTAAGGTGGATTCGGTAGCCCATGCTAAAGGAAATATTGATGTGATGGTGTGCAGTGGTGCACGTTTCAGAGCACCGTCTCTCAGATTCCTGTCGCACATCCTTTTCAGTACCTTTAGGAGAAAGGATGTGAGACTAATTGGTCTGAAGACTTTAGTGTAGTCATTTTTACCAGGTTTCAGTATGAAGATGACTTTTACTTCTCTCCATTTGGTTGGTTTGCTAGGCATCCCGTATATATACGCTGGAGCCACCCAAGTACCTACACTTCGCACCATTTCAGCAGTCATGGAAAGATGCCATGCCTGCCGGTTTAAAAGGGAGGAAGCTTTTGATTGCCCATGTTAAAATATCTGGTTTGACTATATTATGTGCGGTGGTTCAATCTACTGATCCTGGATTGCACGCTACTTCATCTTCCCTTTCTTGGTTGCGTCTGGTGGTGCAGTCTGGGAAGTGACTTTGCATCAGCAGTTCACAGGTCTCAGCATCGGTTTGGTGTAGGTATTATCAGCCTTTTTGAGATATCCTAAGTTACGTTCCGGGTCGCTACTGAGGATCTTCTTTACCCTAATGGCTTGGTTGTTGTCTTCGACGACATTAGAAAGGCGCTTCCAGCATTCTGTCTTCCTGTGGCGGTTACGCTTTTTGTAACGCGTAGGTACTGGTATACTAGGCATCCCGTATAGATACGCTGGAAATGCCCAAGTACCTGCACTCCGCACCAATTCAGGAGTCGTGGAAAGATGTAACCCAGGCCTGCCGCTTTAAAAGGGAGAAAGCTTTTGATTGTCCATGTTAAATTATCGGGTTTGGCTATTTTATGTGCGCTGGTCCAATCTGCTGATCCTGAATTGTGCGCTTCTTCATCTTCCCATTCTTGGTTGCGTCTGGTGGTGCAAGCCTGGGAAGATAGTTTACATCAGCAGTTCACAGATCTCAGCATCGGTTTTGGTGTAGGTATTATCAGCCTTTGTAAGATATTCTAAGTTACGTTCCGGGTCGCTACTAAGGGTTTTCTTTACCCTAATGGCTTGGTTGTTGTTTTTAATGTCATTACAAAAGTTCTTCCAGCATTCTGTCTTCCTGTGGCGGATACACTTTTTGTAACGTGACTGTTCTTCTTTGTATTGTATCTAGACGTGTGTAGCTCAGGGCCCCACTCAGGATCCTTGCACGTTAATTCATCATCACTTTGCTTAAGATGTTTTTGTTTGTATTTGACTTTAGTAATCAACATTTCTGGTAAATAGGGAAGATGCATATATAATATTTACGAAAATTTTATCATTAAAATGTTAAAAAAATATAAAATAAATGCCACTGCAACGTTTTTATTTTACATAATGTTGTTTTTTAACAATTATTACGAATTAAAAATACTTGAAACGGAACGTATTTTAAAACACCAATCAGCGTTTAGTGACGTCACTCCTGTAATGACAACTTCTTTGAGGTTATGGTTGTTAAAGTAAATATTATTTTATGGGAACATTTATTGCGTTTTTTTACATTGAATAAAAATGGAAGTTGCGTTTATCAAAGCAGACTCCAGGAATTTACCAAGAGTTAGCGTTGACATCGTTATAACTTTTTTTGTCCAAAGTGCAGAGTTTTTAAGTGTAGAAATGAAAGGGACTATATTACTACGGTATGTAAAAATCGTAGTTTATTCGTATTTTATTCAGCGGCTTCTACAAATCTTACGGCGATAATGCAATCGGCTATGTCCAAATTAAAAGAGATGGAAAATTATGCACAGTAAAAGGTCGAGTTCTCAGGAGCATAAACTACGTAAAGAAGGTTATCGTGTTACAGTTATTTTAAATGAAACGCAAAGCTTGGTTCAGTCCTGCCAATGTGAAGATTGTGCCACACATTTTAAACTTTATCTAATTTTCGACGTCATTCTCCAACTGTAATATTAAAAATATGTTATAGACAGGTTTTGTAAGTAGTAGGTAGGTTACTAATGCGTTTTTACGTACAAGCAGATTAATTAAGCATATAACAAGTATATTCGCCAACTTACGTCAAAGTGATCTTCTCAGCATCGATTAATGGTCTTTGGAGAATAATTGTCATTTCTCTTCGCAGCTTGAAACCACTTTTTTTTCAGTTTTGGGTCAGAAGTTCCAGTCAAAAACAATTTATTTGGGAACTTTGTTGAAGTAGATTGGCACAAAACATGAGTCAACACGGCTTTTTTTCGGAATATTAGTGGTATTGTTATGATCACATGATGTTGATGGATAGTTCATTTTAATTTTTTCAAAAATATATTTCGAAAGCCGAAAAAATATGCAAAAGTATGAAAATTTAAACCCAGCAACGAACAATTACGACCAGTGACAGACAGGAGTGACGTCATCGCAACCATAGGTTCGTTTTCGCGCGAAAATTTAAATTGTCAATTTAAAACCGCATTTTTTCCGATAAATCACAATGTTTTAATTTTTTAATATATCTGTGGTTTATTCTACATGGAATTCTTTAAAATGAAAACAAAAATAAAAATATTGCATCTTCCCTATTATGTATGTAAGTACTTGTGTATTAAGGAAAATATATTTATTTATATACTTTGTAGTTCTTCTTTTTTTATGCTCTTCTGAGGTATTATTAATTTTTTTCCGTCTCGCAACCTCATACCCTGACTGCACTCAGATTGCGCGCGTACTGTTCCTATAATTTTGATTCGCTTCTTGTGAAATATAACTATAGAACCCTACAATGCGTATAGCCCGTCCGTATTATGATTTTAAATATCAGACTACTCTAATAAAACAATAACAACTTTTGCAGGTCAAGAGAAAGTAATATTAATTCAAGAACAGCAATCTAGGAATAGAATGATAGTGGATGAATTTAAAGGAGCAATACAGTGTCAAGTAACAAGTTCAACACATGAGAAGAAAACTAGGACAAATGTTATTGTCAAGAATGGGAAATATGTGTTAAGACACAACGCTTTATCTGACGTAATATTATTTTCTATTTTATTATTGTCAGTTTTTTCTTTTCTATTTAAAAAGAAAAAATAAATAATAATATCATTGTTTCATACGTCTATTAAATAATGATTTTTGTTTATTAACAAGGTTTTTCCTATTATCAGGACATCCCAATTGCGGTTGCTTTCAAAGCTATGGGTATTTGTAGTGACCAAGAAATTATGCAGTTGATTGGAACAGATGACACAACAATGAAGAAAATGGGTCCTTGTATCATGGATTGCCACAATATGAAAATATTTACCCAAAATCAAGCCTTGACTTACATTGGAAGTAAATTAAAAGCTAAGAGGTAAAAAAATAACCATTGGTTTATATTTTAATTATTATTTTAAGTCTACATTTTGTTTTAATTTATCTTTCGTCTTAGATACCAAACAGGGAATTCTCGCACTCCTGTTGATGAAGCAAGAGATCTGTTGGCCACCACTATATTGGCCCATGTAGCTGTAGAAAACTTCAATTTTTATGTCAAAGCTATTTATTTGGCTATTATGGTAAAAAGGGTAATTGATGCTGAAAGCAACAAAGCTGCTATTGATGATCCTGACTACTATGGTAATAAAAGGTTAGAGTTAGCTGGTTCATTACTAGCTCTCATGTTTGAAGATTTGTTCAAAAGATTTAACTGGGAGTTGAAAACAACTGCAGATAAAATAATACCAAAAGTTAAAGCAGCCCCCTTTGATGTAGTGAAGCACATGCGGCCAGATTTGATTTCTAACGGACTCTTCGCAGCTATTTCCACTGTAAGTAGTAACTCAGAAGTACAATATTAAATAACAGTTTTTAAAAGCCATTAAATAATACTGAATTTGTACTTTGTATTTAGGGTAATTGGACAATCAAAAGATTTAAAATGGAAAGGCATGGTGTCACACAAGTCCTCAGTCGTCTCAGCTACATTTCAGCTTTAGGAATGATGACAAGAGTTAATTCTCAATTTGAAAAGACCAGGAAAGTGTCAGGGCCTCGTTCTCTACAACCCTCCCAGTGGGGTATGCTGTGCCCCTCTGATACACCTGAAGGCGAGAGTTGTGGTCTTGTCAAAAACTTGGCATTAATGACCCATATTACAACTGAATGCTCTGAGGAACCAATATCAAAATTAGCCTGTAATGCAGGTGTTGAAGATGTCAGATTATTGGGTGGTGAAGAAATTAATCATCCTGCTGTGTACATGGTTTTCCTTAATGGTAAGAATAGATATACATAATATTAGGTATTATGTTTAGTAAAACGACTTTAAAAGTAAATTATTTCTCTCTCCAGGTAATATTTTAGGTGTATCAAGACAATATAAAAGACTTATAAGGGTATTTAGAATGTTTAGACGGCGTGGTCTTATTTCGGCTTTTGTATCCATCTATCCGAATCACAACCAAAGAACTGTATACATTTGTAGCGATGGAGGCCGGTTGTGTCGACCGTATATTATAGTTGAAAATGGCCGCCCGCTAGTTCAACAATTGCACATAAATGAACTGAATAGAGGCATTAGGAAATTTCAAGATTTTCTGAATGATGGCCTAATTGAATATTTAGACGTGAATGAAGAAAACGACAGCCATATTGCTACTGTAGAAGCCGACATAGACCCATATGTGACGACGCATCTCGAAATAGAGCCATTTACGATTTTGGGAGTATGTGCTGGCCTTGTACCTTATCCACATCACAATCAAAGTCCACGAAATACTTATCAATGTGCTATGGGTAAACAAGCAATGGGTGAGTAACGTTTCTAAACTACTTAATAATGTTTAAATATAACAGAACACTCAGTACCTCAAGTACCTGCGATCCTGTCAGGTTCTTCCGAATCCTCGAAATGAATGTTTTCTGTGTCCGAACATCAGATTTTAATATAAAATATCTTAAATCCTACTAACAGAAGTAGTAGTAATAATATTGCATAAAAAATAGTGTGCACGGACCACACATCTGAGGTGTAACTTATTTTTTTAAATACTCAAAAAATAGGTAGTGCAGTAAGGCACAGGAGAATGAAAATCTTATTTCTAAATGAAAAATTAGTTTTTGTATTAGAAAATCATGGCAGAATCAGGCCCATTATAAAATAAAGTGTCCTTATGAATAAATTAGGTGGTTGTATTTGTTATTCTCCTCTCCACATCATAAAATATTTATATTTTCAGGAACTATTGGTTATAATCAGAAAAATAGGATAGATACGCTAATGTATAATTTAGTGTATCCACAATGTCCAATGGTTAAAACTAGAACTATAGAATTAACAAATTTCGATAAACTACCTGCCGGCCAAAATGCAACTGTAGCTGTTATGAGTTACAGTGGCTATGACATAGAAGATGCTTTAATTCTTAACAGAGCTTCCATAGACCGCGGTTATGGCAGATGTCTTGTATATAAAAGTTCCAAAACTACTATGAAAAGATACAGCAATCAAACTTCGGATCGTATATTAGGACCCTCAAGGGATGCTAACACTGGAAAAGTTATAAGAGCTCATGAAATCTTAGATACGGACGGTATAGCTGCGCCAGGTGAAATGGTAGAAAACAGACAAGTCCTTATAAATAAACAAATGCCACCAGCTACACTCAATCCCGTGGTTCAAGGACAACCACAACAGGTGGATTACAAAGACGTTCCCGTCACGTATAAGGGTCCCGTCGAATCTTACATTGAAAAAGTTATGGTATCTTCGAATTCAGAGGACGCTTTCCTAATAAAAATTTTGCTGAGGCAGACCAGGGTCCCAGAAATTGGAGACAAATTTAGTTCTCGGCACGGACAAAAGGGTGTAACTGGACTGATAGTTCAACAAGAAGATATGCCATTTAACGATAGAGGAATTTGCCCAGATATGATAATGAACCCTCATGGCTTTCCATCCAGAATGACAGTTGGCAAAACAATAGAATTACTTGCAGGAAAAGCTGGTCTTATGGAAGGGAAATTCCATTATGGTAATTATTTTTTCTAATTTTCATGATGTTTATTTACATGTTTTACATTAATTTGATTAAGTATTTTTATAACTTCACAGGAACAGCATTTGGGGGATCCAAAGTAAGAGATGTATGTAACGAATTAGAAAAACATGGCTATAATTACCATGGTAAAGACATCTTCTATTCAGGAATAACAGGCGAGCCTCTGGAAGCGTATATTTATTCGGGACCGGTGAGTAAAGTTCTTATATCTATTGGTTTTTGTCAGTTCTCATTATCTCAGATTTCATGATACACTAATGGACTCGAGTGCCTGTTAGTACAGTCAATCTGTAGGTTGAGTGGTGAAAAAAAAACCTAAAGGGTAAGTCTTGTTTTTTCTGTTGCCAAATGACGTCAGTAAGCCACCTTGGCGATGGGCATGTTTAACTCGTAGGCGTTTTTTGAAAAACTCAAAAAAACTATCAAGAATTTTTTGAAACGCATTTTTCTTGTTTTGTATGCATTTTAGAAACTATTTTTCGACCATAATTGTAGAGAGCGTTGAGTACTACAATTTATGTCATTGTTGCAATCTCGTACAACAAAAAATGCGCATTGTAGGTGGCGCTAAAGTCTCAAAAAAAGTGTTTTTTCACTTTTTCACCCTGAAAATATCATTTTAATGGAAAACTTTAAATGGAAAAGTTGTTCCGTACATTATTACCAACAACTTTTGTATAAACAATTTTTTTTTATTACTTACCGTTTTCAAGTTATAAATTGCGCAGGTATGAAAATATTTTTTATACTATTTATACTATTTTTTTTTTCAATCATGAAAAAAAATAAAAAATAGGAAAACGTACATTAAAATGTGCACTGCAAATGTGTACTTGAACTGCCCAAAACTGCTGTATTGGATTTTTCATACCTGCGCAAGTCATAACTTGAAAACGGTAAGTAATACAAAAAAAATGTTTATACTAAAGTTAAAGATATTATTTTTCATGATTGAAAAAAAATAGTAAAAACGTACATTGAAATGTGCACTGCAAATGTGTACTTGAACTGCCCAAAAACCGCTCTATTGGATTTTTCATACTTGCGCAATTTATAACTTGAAAACGGTAAGTAATACAAAAAAAAAATGTTTATACAAAAGTTGTTGGTAATTATGTACGGAACAACTTTTCCATTTAAAGTTTTCCATTAAAATGATATTTTCAGGATGAAAAAGTGAAAAAACACTTTTTGAGACTTTAGCGCCACCTACAATGCGCATTTTTTTTGTTGTACGAGATTGCAACAATGACATAAATTGTATTACTCAACGCCCTCTACAATTATGGTCGAAAAAAAAGTTTCTAAAATGCATACAAAACAAGAAAAATGCGTTTCAAAAAATTTTTGAGGGTTTTTTCGAGTTTTTCAAAAAACGCCTACGAGTTGAACATGCCCGTCGCCAACTAGCTTACTGACGTCATTTGGCAACAGAAAAAACAAGACTTACCCTTTAGGTTTTTTTTTCACTGAAACGATATTTTTTCGACAGATTGACTGTACTATGTCTATCAGCCCCAAATAACTGCTTTAGACAATGAAACAACACTCAAAACTTACACTAATTTCGATGGAGAAAATTAAATGTCCATAATGCTTTTTTACCTTATTGTTTCCCAGGCATGTTAGTAAAATTTATTTAAATTAAAATTTAAAACCACGAATCGGGAACAAAATTTAAGTCTCCATCATACAATGAGGATCCGTAACGATTTTATTTGAGAATGTAGATTTATAGAGCTAAGGATTCCATACAATACAGTGGTTAAATTTTTATTCTACCTTAAATATTGACGAAATTATTACCAAATTACTAAACAAATTTTCGGCTGGTTGTATATTAATTAAAAAGTTTATTAGATTATTATACTGTTCATTTTGATTTGATTTTCTGACCTAGGAATAATCCTCATATAATGCCCCAATCGGAATTAGACTCAAGAAGCTTTGGAGCAGGGGGCACTAGCGCTGCCGTAAAAAGTTTCTTGGAAAAGTCATTATTTCATTTTAGCACTAGCACTAATGAGACGCTAGTACCGTGTCTTCCTTTTAATAATTTAATATAAGGCCCTTATTATTAGAACACTTTACTCAAAGAACGAGATCTTGAGATGCTGTTTTCACACATTATAGCATCTCGAGGTCTTACTCAAGATAGCTTTTAAGAGTAAAGAGTGTTCTAAAAATACGGGCCTAAGATTGCTGGTAAAAATTGGAAGTGCTCCCCGTAGGTGTACTACCAGAAGCTGAAACACATGGTACAAGACAAGATGCACGCGCGTGCTCGGGGGCCGCGGGCAGTGCTGACCCGGCAGCCCACTGAGGGCCGGTCGCGCGACGGCGGTCTGCGCCTCGGCGAGATGGAGCGCGACTGTCTCATAGGCTACGGGGCCAGGTGAGTGTCACCATACTCGGTAGTAAATAAGTGATATAGCTCGAGGCCCGCGCGCGGTGCTGACCCGGGAGCCCACTGAGGGCCGCCCGGCCGATCGACCAACGGTGGCCCGCGCCTCGGCGAGATGGAGCGCGATTGTCTTATAGGCTACGGGGCCAGGTGAGTGTCGCCTATTCGGTAGTATGTAACTGATATAGCTCGCGGCCCGCGCGCTGTGCTGACCCGGCAGCCCACTGAGGGCCGCTCGACCGATCGTGCAACGGAGGCCTGCGCTTCGGCGAGATGGAGCGCGACTATCTCATAGGCTACGGGGCCAGGTGAGTGTCGCCGTATTCGGTAGTAAGTAAGTGATATAGCTCGCGGCCCGCGCGCGGTGCTGCCCCGGCAGCCCACTGAGGGCAGCCCGGCCGGTCGACCAACGGTGGCCCGCGCCTCGGCGAGATAATAATAATAATAATAATATAATAAATTTTTATTTTCTCATACCACAATCTAAATAAAACTTACATGAAGCAATGGTACAATGTTGCAGACTGTGGTGGGCTGATACCTGAACTAGGAAAAATCCTGTATCCCAGGTTATCAACCCTCCACCCCAAACAATGGTCAGAAAACTTACAAATTGTATGCACTTAGTGAGACACTTTATAAATAATCATGATGGGAAGTTTTGACACACACTATTCATATAAAGAAGTTAAATTCTAAATAAATAATACATTTAGGACATTTTATAGTTTAAGATTGCAATGCCAATACAGGATTATTTATCAACTTTTAATATTTTTTCTGTCGCAAGATAATCAAAAGATTTTAATTTTTCTTTTAGAGTTATCTTTAAACCAGCTTTATTCATTTCAATTATACGGGATATATCATCAAAGTACCTATAGAGAAACGGCCCAGTATAGTACATCTGACGTCGAGCAAATATTGAATTATAATTTGGGACTTTCGTACGATATCGCCTCTTATGTTTAGGAAGTTGGGATGGGTCTATCGTTTTATGATGCCGAAGGATAGTATTATAAATAAATAGCTGCCTAACAGTTAGTAAATTAGCCTCCTGGTATAACTGGCGTGTCGGATATTTCCTGGGTTTACCTAGCATGACTTTGAGAACAGCTCTCTGTGCTCTTTCAATCTCCAAAAAATGGGTTTTAGCAGCACCACCCCAAACCGGAATACAATAGGTTAGTAGGGATTGACAAAGAGAAAAATAGATTTTTATAATAAGCGTTGGGTCAGCTGCTTCACGAAGGTTTTTAAAAATGTGAAGCAATTTTCGTACTCTTTTGCTTAGGGATGAGATATGAGGTGCCCAATTGAAATTTTTATCAATTATGATACCCAGATATTTGTGAGTATTAGTTTCAATTAAATAGGGACAATCACAAGGGGGGTCAATAGTATCGGAGGAACACGTTTTAAAGTGGGCTTTTACGTTAAAATTAATGGGAGGTTTAGTAGCACTAGAGATTCTAAAGCATATGAATTTTGTTTTAGGTACATTGATGGTTAGAAGATTGTTGTCTAACCACCCTATAACCTTTTTAAGACCTCGTTCAGCAAATTTCCGGACTAGAGACCAAGTTTTACCGTGAAAGATTAGGGCGGTATCGTCTGCAAAAGCCAGCGTGTTACCGTTGTCCATTCTGATTTTGCAAAGGTTGTTGACGTAGGCCAGAAACAGGTCGCCTATTCGGTAGTATGTAACTGATATAGCTCGCGGCCCGCGCGCAGTGCTGACCAGGCAGCCCACTGAGGGCCGCTCGACCGATCGTGCAACGGAGGCCTGCGCTTCGGCGAGATGGAGCGCGACTGTCTCATAGGCTACGGGGCCAGGTGAGTGTCGCCGTATTCGGTAGTATGTAAGTGACATAGCTCGCGGTGCTGCCCCGGCAGCCCACTGAGGGCCGTCCGGCCGATCGGCCAACGGTGGCCCGCGCCTCGGCGAGATGGAGCGCGATTGTCTTATAGGCTACGGGGCCAGGTGAGTGTCGCCTATTCGGTAGTATGTAACTGATATAGCTCGCGGCCCGCGCGCAGTGCTGACCCGGCAGCCCACTGAGGGCCGCTCGACCGATCGTGCAACGGTGGCCTGCGCCTCGGCGAGATGGAGCGCGATTATCTTATAGGCTACGGGGCCAGGTGAGTGTCGCCGTATTCGGTAGTAAGTAAGTGATATAGCTCGCGGCCCGCGCGCGGTGCTGACCCGGCAGCCCACTGAGGGCCGCTCGACCGATCGTGCAACGGAGGCCTGCGCTTCGGCGAGATGGAGCGCAACTGTCTCATAAGCTACGGGGCCAGGTGAGTGTTGCCGCATTCCTTAGTTTGGAGTGAAATTGCGCGGGCTGCATACGTGCTGACCCACCGTATGCAACCCACTGAGACGGTTTTTCGAATATTATATAAATATGATCTCTTATCTATTAGACAAGTTCGTCCGTCCGTCTGTCTGTGGTGCTGTTTCAGCGGCCAAACCGTAAGAGATAGATAAAGAGAATATTTAAGTTATAAGATAAGAATAGTCTGATAAGACTACAAACCGGATTTGAGTAACGTAGCACTTCCGGTTTTCGAGAAATCACGTGATTTTTTTTTTGTAATTATCACAATTTTAATTAACTATTTAAAGGTTAATTTTTTTTTATTTATTTATTTTATTTTTTTAACTAAATAATTTCAAATGAAACCACACAAAATCTCCGAAGTTCTCAATTAATTAAATACATTTTTTAAATCAGGTTTTGGTGAACATTTGGTTCACTGGTTTGCTAGTTTAATATATTTCTACTATTATGCGTTTTAGTCAACTTGTTCTTGGTGAAAGGGAATTGTCACAACTTCGATTCTGCTTACCACAGTACGGATATAAGTACCTATATTATTATGTGAAATTGCGAACTTGCGTCTGTGTGTTATGTAAGCACATGTTTTGTTGCAGCATGCTGCTCATGGAGCGACTGATGCTAGCGTCGGATGCATTCAGCGCGCACATTTGCGGCGCGTGCGGACGGCTCGCGAGCCGCGCCTGGTGCCACGCGTGCCGCTCCTCCGCCGCCGTCTCCGCGGTGGAGATGCCGTACGCGTGCAAACTGCTCTTCCAGGAGCTGGCCTCTATGAACATTGTGCCCAAGCTCACGCTCAAGAAATATTGTTGATCTTAATACCATTTTTGACACTAAACATTCTGTTTTGTGATGGCGTCCTCTTTGTATGTTAGGTACGTTTTTAAGTAAAGCACTGATTAATTATTCTACAACCGACCTTTTTTTTGTTCTCAATATCTATACGTACCTATACCTTAGTACGGCACGCGTGCCGCTCCTTCGCCGTGGCGATGTCGTATTCGTGCAAACTGCTCTTCCAGGAGCTGGCCTATATGAACATCGTACCCAAGCTCACGTTCAAGAAATATTGTTGATTTTTATACCGTTTTTGACACTAAACATTCTGTTTTGTGATAGCGTCCTCTTTGTTTTGTTAGGTTCGTTTTTAAATAAAGCACTGATTAATTATTCTACAAACGACTTTTTTTTGTTCCCAATATACGTACCTATACCTTCGTACGGCACGCGAGCCGCTCCTACGCCGTGGCGATGCCGTACGCGTGAAAATTGCTCTTCCAGGAGCTGGCCTCTATGAACATCGTGCCCAAGCTCACTCTCAAGAAATATTGTTAATTTGAGTACCATTTTTGACACTAAACATTCTGTTTTGTGATGGCGTCCTCTTTGTTTTGTTAGGTACGTTTTTGAGTAAAGCACTGATTAATTCTACAACCGACTTTTTTTTTTCTCCATATCTATACGTACCTATACCTTCTATACGTGTCACGCGTGCCGATTCTCCGCCGACGAGATGAGAACGCATCCAAACTGCTGATTCCGAAACGGACTTGACCTCCATGAACATCATGCCCGAACTCACGCTCACTTTTTTTTCATGGGCACCTCGCGCACTACACAGCCCCGACCAGTACCCCTAGCACCAACCAATATCGAATATGCAGCATTCGAATACTTGCGAGTCCGGAATGTCATTGTCAATTTTTGTATGGAAACTTGAACAACAGCGCCAAAATGGACGTAACGAGAACTAAATCAGTACACATTTGACAATGACATTTCGCACTCGGAAACTATTCGAATTCGATTTTGGTTTGTTCTAGGGGTACTGCACCCTGAGCACGAACCATTATCGAATTCGAATAGTTGAATTCTATATATATTATACGTCAAATGTATATTGATTTTTAGTTTTCGTTATGTCCCTTGTGACACTTCTGATTAAGTTTCCATACAAAAATTGTCAATGGCATTTCGCACTCGCAAACTCTTCGAATTCGATAATGGTTCGTGCTAAGGGTACAGCCATAGAGCAACACGACCGACGCGGCCAGGAGGGGAAGTAGCCATAGTGACACAATATAGTCCGGGAGCCACCAATCCTGAAAGCTCCGTGATCACGGATTCTAATAGTTAACGTTTAGACGAATAAGATTGATGTTTTTATTTATTTTTAAGCATTTATCTGCTAGATGTTTAAATCTAAAGAAAAGTTTACTAGAAAAAAAAACACGCGGACGGGACTCGAACCCGCACCCTTTGCAATCCGGGCGAATGCACCATTATGCTACCACGGCCCTATTCGCCGCGTCGAAATTTTCCTAGCCTTAAGCTGCAAGGCAGCGCCATCTCTTCGCATTGTAGGTTCGAGTCCCGTCCGCTGCCTGGTCCGCGAGGATTTTTTTCTAGCCTGGTCCACGAGGATTTTTTTCTAGTAAACTTTTATTTAGATTCGAATAAGATTTGCTTGGTCGGCGTGGGTTTGATTGGCCGGAAATATTTTAATTAAATTATTTAGTATTAAATTTCCATATTGTTTTCCGTCATCACGGATTTTGATCAATCTTATATAGAATCTTGTGTGAAATATTTTCAACAAGAAAAAATCCGGCCGACCAATGATTTTTAGCCGGAAAGTACACGCATACCTATTTGAATGGTGTGATATGGGGTAAAATTTATCCATTATCACGGAAACCTCTTTTTTTAATTCACGCGTTTTAATGTCACATTTATAATTATCTTAGTATGCGTGCTTACAAACTGCCGGAAGTATCGCGCATACCAAATTTTAACTCTTTGCTTTTTAACATTTTCTATATTTCTGTAAACTCACTGTGAGGCAGATTTTTGGTTCAAGTTGAAACCTTGCATGAGTTCGTCTCTTTCTGTTCCCTACGAATTTAACATTTACCTGCCTCAAAAATACACAATACCGTAAAGTGAGGATGTTCTACGAGAGGGCTGCATAGTGTTAACTGTCTTACTCCGGTTTCTTTTCAAGTCCATAAGACTGCACCAAGAGTATGTGAGATAAGAGTAATATCGAATTTATGTTAAAGTTCACAAATGTTACACCATCCTTTCTAAAGTTTTTAGTTGCAGATCTGTTTTTACAGCAAATTATTGAACAATAAGGTATTTTTTGTGCTCTGAGTTATACTCTCGCGACTTGAGTCAGTCTGGTGAAATATACGAGCGCACCTAGTTTTGTTACGTGAGTTGGCCCAACAACGGGGGAAAATCGTCAGAGGGGAACGCTTTGAATGCTTATTCCCCTCCTGGGTACAGCAAGCCAAACGCGCTTTCTATTATTTTGAACGATCCGCCAAAGTTTAATTATTGTTTAATCCTTAGCCCAATTCTAATTGCAACTCAACGTTATGCGAAATCGAGATCGCGCTAATTTTCACCTGTCAACTGAAATATACTTTATGTCTTTGACTGAAGTTCATTGGAGTACTATCTTATCGTGATACGTTTACATCATATCTAGCTGTTAAAACTTTAGCGCGTTTCAGTTGTTTTTTTTTGGTTAATTTGTCCCTGTTGGGACGGGCAAAGGATTTTGAGTCCATACAGCCCTGTCTGTTAACTTTTCTTGCGTTTCAGTTGTTTGACATTTAGACGTTCCATTTTACACACTGCCACTTGTGAAGAATATTTGTTCAACCCTGTTTTTTATGCATTTCAAATACTTTTACACTGTATTTTATGTCTATGTTTTTCTATATTAAACTCATACTACAGAATAATTTAAATTAATATTATTATCATTTCACAAATTCTTCGTGCAGTACAATTGAACGATTTGTAAAACGGATTTCTTTGACCTATGACAGGTGTTTGACAACCCGCCCTGCACAGAATTTAATAAGAATGCTTTAGTATTTTGTTTAATATTAAATAAAATAATGTAGGATTGCTGTAGCTGAGTAAGCATCTAATAGTCTGTGGTTTTCATACAACCCACTTGACGTTGCTCAAAATAAATTGCATTTATTCCCCTCTTGGGACAAATTATTCTTCACAATTGTTGTTTAGTTATTCATATCCGTTTGGTTTGATAAGAATGCAGTCTGTCCAATTTATTTGTAACCATAAAGTAATCAGTTCACAAATACCTGCACTGCATTTTGTCATTTAACTTGATCGAAATATCTTTTCTATCTTTTTACGTAATTTGTCGTGAATAAATTAACAAAATAAATTGCAGATAATGCAAAAGAACATCTGAACCTTCAGTGTTGCCAAAGCAAAAAAAAAAAATATAAAAAATTGTGTGTCAGCTCCGTCGCACGACCGGAGTTTACACTCTAAAAACGATTGTCTTTGAACAGACACAAAACAAAATCAAGTCCGAAGAAGTCGGATACAAGTAGAGATACCCCAGGAATCGTCCCATGGTTTCGACTATCATAGGTTCCATGTCACACATATTATAATCTAACATCAGCGATATTCATCATATATTTTATTATGTATTTCTGGAAACACACAATTTCAAAAATATCACACAGTAGTCATCGTTTTGTAAATATGTATTATAATTCCATCTGTACTGAAAATCACTATTCCAGAATGCTGGACACTTACTGGCATTTCTCTATATTCTGTTATTTGTTTTCATTAATTTTTCTCCGATTTTATCTATTTTTAGTTTATTTATTTTATTGACATTTGTGACAACTTAATCTTTTTTATCCGTTGCCATGGCTAAAAGTAAAAGGTGCGCAGATGAGGTTGCGCACAAAAAACGTAACGAGGTCATTAATCGATAGATTTAACTCCTCACATTATTCTCATACCGGGCCCCTTATATATGAAAATCGATTATTAAGGAGTAAACTCCAATAATAAAAACATTTTTTTTAATTTTCCTGCGTTTAAATCCTAGAAATGAATATAGGATATTATTTTTTTAATTTATACGTAATCTTTCCAGTATACTTTATATTTATATATTAACTTTCATTATCAGGTTTTCAAATGTATGGAAAGTGGGCATTGTTCTTTGACAATAACATTTCGGACTCGCAAACTATTCGAATTCGATATTGTTTTGTGCTAGGGGTACTGTACCCCAACCACGAACAACTAGCGAGAAAGGATTCGTATCACTATGCATCGTCAGTGTCTATGGAAAGAGGTATTTTGTTCTAACGCCCGACCGTTTAGGGTGCTGCCTAGTTTTCGTAGAATCTTTGAAATAGCGACACGAATAGTCGCCAATTGTTTCTGCTTGGGGTACTTGGACTGAGTGATTTTTTTCTACATCTTTAAATCATGTTTTATGTTTGAGTTTTCCTTTGATTATTAGAAATGAAAGAGCAGTTATACATAATTTATAAAAATATATTTTAAACAATTAACTATAAATATATACCAAACATAATTACGTAATCACGGGCATAATTCTTAACATTCTTAAAAACACTTTGATTAGTGTAAACATTGACCACATTGTAAATATAAAAAGTAAGTATGTGAAACCGCTGAACGAAAACAATCTGAACAATCCGTATCCTATGGTCATGTATACGACGAAGGCATGTGACCCCAAGCGCCGTAACGACAGTCTGGCTGGTAGGTTTTGGCTCACAATGTTCTGATGATTGATTGCGTCTTTAACATAATTGTGAATGGTACAGGGTTTTTGCAAGATTTCACGAGCAACGTAACCCCAGAATTTGTTCGAATTCCACAGCTGCGAGAATTCGTCTTGATACTGAAAATAAATTAATAAAAAAAACGTTGTAATGATTTCTGTAATAAAACATTTTTATGATACAAAAAATTGGTAGTTGATCTGCCCTGGCATCGTATAGGTGAAAAAATACTGATAAAAGCATGAGAAGTATTCAGATTTCAATGTAAAAACATCAAACGCATACGCCCGAAATTCTTCGTGGATTTAAAAAACAAGATATTTCAATCAAACATCACCCTCACAATAATAACAAAATGTAGGTATTGTAACTACACTATAAACAAAAATAGGCACCTCAACGTTATTTAAAAACGTTCCTTATATCATATTAAAACATTCATTACTTCTCATGCAGTCAGTGTTTGTTTTAAACGAAATAAATTGTCAACAACCTTCATCTCAAACAATTTGAACGTTGTTTACGGCCAATTATGTATATTTTTCGATAAAACGTTTTTCTGCTTCAAATTTTCAAAAGGTAATTTTAAAGCGTACGCAGCACGTTGAATTAATTTGAAATCTGACTAACCTTATCATACAGCGACTGCACAAAATGTATAGTTTATTATAGGTACATCAAGACGAAGCGAGGGCGGGTCACTACTATAATATGTTAAGTACAAATCTACAAACCATTTCATTGATTCTTGTTGCTATTTGGTATAAGATTCGAACCAAGATGGTGCTCTCATAAGATGAAATAGGCATCAGATCTGGATCACCCATATAATGTACAGTAGAGGGTTTGTTACGGAGCTGTAATAAAAACACACACATGTAAAAACTTCAGCCTTATTGTATAGATATAAACATATATTTATTTATTTAGCAGTTACCTTATTAGTGACCGAATAGGGAAAATTTGTTGAGTTAGCAAATGACGAATGTTCCAAACTATCTTCCACAATTTGCTCGGAATTCTGCATCGCGTAGTCACTCAGCTGTAAATATTTACAATAGTGTCACAAACGCTCTCGAAATAAAACCGCGAAAATACTAAAGACAGAATTTACTAGAACACCGCGGATCGCGATAAAGGTCGAGTGGTGCGGCTCGTTCTAATATGAGCCTTATGCAGTGCGGCGTAAGGGAGAAAGTGCTACGACATCTGCACTTGTTAACAACTTATGCGTGTTACTTACGTAGGTATAAGAAGGTACTACGTACTCGCGGATGCTATCTTCTCTCAATTTAAAGGGACTTTTCCAGAATGCGTCGATTGGCGTATATAAGTGCGATCAGCGCCGAGCAGGGACAGTTCCTCATCTAAAGATAGTTCGTGATCGCGCAGCATATATTCGCGGTAGGCTATTTCACCTCATAGGAAAGCGTAGTATAATGTCACTTAGGCATAAGTTGACAATTTACAAAACTTGCATCCGCACTATCATGACCTACGCGAGTGTTTTCTTAGCCCATGTACCTCCGTCAAGTCTTAAACCATTACAAACGTTGCAAAATCGTGTGTTATCACGGGCTACCCGCGGTACGTGTGCAACATCGATTTGCATCGCGATCCCAAGCTAGACTCCATCGCGAAGTATATGAAGGACAACTCGAGACGTTACTTCGATAAAGCAGCGCATCATCCGAACCCCTTAGTAGTCAAAGATATTAGTTATCACACGTCCGCGCTCCAATCAAGGGGCCCTACGATTCCGTCGGCCTAGGCACGTCTTAGAATACCCCGACGACGAAATCATCCGCGCCAACGCCTCTGAATCCTCCCACACAGGCCACAAACACCATCACTGTGTACTGTTGGTGTTTGTTGCTAAGCTGGTGTGCAAGTGCACTGCTATATTATGCAGACACCGCACCGTTCTCTAAACTTAAAACTAAATTTAACATCAGTCTCTCCTTTTCATTCTTTAAAGAGAATGGCAAAAATACACTGTTGTGAAATTTAAGTTTAGGTTTAGAGAATCATGCCAGAATCGACAGAAATAAATACTTACACCATAAATATCAGAGAAGTATTGGATAGTAGCATTCAAATAATTCGGCACTTTTTTTGCTTCATCAAATAATAACCTATCTTCTTCATAGCTACCCATCATTAACCAATCCTTTACACTTGCCCAAAAACCTAAAAATATAAAAACAGAATACTGTTATCAATCAACGAATAAGGTAAACAAATAGAAAGAAAATATTACTAGAAAAAATTGCACGCGGACCAGGCAGCAGACGGTACTCAAACCCACACCCTTTGCTATCCGCGCGAATGCACTGACCAATAATGTTATCGCGGCTCTAAGTTTCCTATTATAGATTTAAACATCGAGCATTTACATGCTTAAAAAATAAAAATTATAGGTAACTGTATTGTTATTGCAAATACATATTGGGGGCAGCCGATATAAGTAATTAAAACGATTGAAAAGGGGCTGCAACGAGATAACGATAAATACACAATTACGAATGGGTTTGCTAATAGCGTAACGTACTCACGTTTGAAACTTTTGTCGGAAACTTGTGGTCCGCGTATTCTTCTAGCTAGAGGGGCACATGAACAGCACACACAGTCATAGAAGAAATTCACAGTTTATTGTGGTGCTTTTAATTTTTACGTCCTTATCTTTATTGGCGGCGCTGGCTGATCTTTTCTCCAACGTCCGTAATTCTTTGCATAGCTCGCGAACCAATTGGCCGGAATTCAAACATTTTGGTACGTTGTCCCGCTTAGCTGGATCCGTACTCTTGAGAGCATGCCATTCCTTGAGGGCGTTGGATAATAGCTTGATTCCTCTCAGTAGCAGTGGAGGAAGCTGCGCAGGGGGTGTGCTCACACTGCTCTCGTTGATTGTGAAGTTTCGTCCTGCGTTTCTTCATTATGTCGCCGTAAAATGGTGAGTAGATGCGCGCCCGCATATCAATGCATAGCTTCGAATAACGGGTACCGAAACATTATGGGAGATGGAAGTCTCTACTCGGCGTTCTATTTCGTAGATTTGTAACTGCATCTCAATGGCGTATGAATGCAGCAGGTTTCCCCCGAACACGAGCGAGTCGCAAGGCGTCAATACTGCATGTATCCACCCACTAGGTATGAATAAAGTCTGGCCAGCACACAGTTCAGCAGTGCCGTACCATTCCACCATGTCACCGAAGAAGCGTTCATTTTGGTTGTTAGATGCACTCCATTGTTGATACAGGGCTAAGTTTGTGGCAGTTGGTGGCACCAAATAGAATATCTTCCGGCCATGAAGGACGTGATACCACACCGTAGTCCCCCCAAAGTCTACATGGAAGTCGGTGTAGGCTGCGGCCGGAACCATGAGGCAGTATTTCTGCACCGCGGGCCGCGGCCGGCCTCCGCTCGCGGGCCACGCGCGCACCGCCCAGTCCAGCCGACGCGCCATCGACGGGGGCTCCACTAGGGTGGACATATTTGTGTCTGAGAACTCAAGGCTTAGCACATTGAGCACCTTCTCATCTCGATGTTCAGGTGGTGTTTCAAAGTAATCAACAAAATCACCCAGGGACATACGCAAAGTGGATTGTTTACGAACATCTATGACCTCCACCTCTAACTGAGCTCCACAGAACCGCAAAACCGATCTTACAGTGAAAGTGGCTGGGTTTGGTGTCTTCATGTCTAAGCCTTCCGAAGTGTGAAATATAATCGGTCTGTTGAATCCATCGTCTCTGACAAACTCCTCTGTGAAATACTGGCCCCTCATTTTTTGTAACGCAGCCGAGGCAACGCAGTTGAGGGGCCGCGCAGCTAACGCTCGCACCCATGCTGGAGTACCCACTTGGGAGGGTCTAGTCTTAGCGCCTAGCTCATACCGATCAGCGCGATGATTGCTTGTAGGAATTTTCAACACTGATGGGCCATAAGTTTGAGCACAATTTGGACAGTGATATTCACAGTGTATTGTTGACGAATTCCACTTGTTTGGTATACCGCACGTAAAGATTTTGGTTATACGATGTTAGCGAGTGCGCGGGCGCGGAACGGAGTGACGTAGGTCCTCTCGTGTGATCAGTGGCTAACTGTCTGCGTTAGGCTAGTAAAAAAACACATTCGCAGATGCATCGTTCTCGTTGCGAACCTACCCACATTTAAAATAATACATAAGTAACCACGATTAAGTGATAACGGAACAGTAACTATAATTGCTATTTCTTCTTTCAAATGTTTAATGCTTATAAAAGTATTCATTTGACATTGTGGGTTACATACAATGCGAAGAGATGGTGCTGCCTTGCAGCTTAACAAAAAGGCTACAAATAATTCGACATGGCCATCAGGGCCGCGGTAGCATAATTGGTTAGTGCATTCGCCCGAATAGCGAAGGGTGCGGGTTCCAGTCCCGTCTACTGCCTGGTCCGCGTGGAATATAATCTAGTAATATTTTCTTTAAAACAAATAGTTTCAAAAATATAAATTCCAGAAATTAGCATCATTATTTTCACTCATATGATAATATTATATACCTTGATGTTGTTTGTTCAGTCTTTTGTTCAACTCTTCCAAGTTTTTTTCACCTTGGATTTTGGAGGACATAATTTTTCTTAAAAATTCTAGTGCAAATTGTTTTTTGCTTTCACTCCAAACAGGATCGTATTCGTAATTAGCAGACAAGTTTATTTCTGATAGGGACTGCTTTGCTATTGGCACCCATTTATGTAAAGCTACGCCGTTATAAATGTAACTGAAATAAATTAAAAGTAGCAGTCTTAACTTAATACCAATGGACTGAATATATTTTCTGTGGACTTCAGTAAGTTCAGCCACTCAGTAGCAACTTGAAAGTGTTGCAACTAAGTGGCTGAAAGATAGGAAAACTGCAGGAAAATATGTATCATATTTTCCTGCAGATTTCCTATTACCTACCTATACCCTACACGCCTCCACATAAATGCAAAACATTCTGAAATAGGTACTTACAAAAAAATATGTAGGCTACTTAATATAAGCATGCGGGACTGACATTTGTCATTTCTGGCTTTGATCACCTCTGCTTCAGATTATCTCGCTCGTAATAAGACTATTTCTGGATTCAACCATTTCGTTTTTTTTTGTATAAGTTCAGTACAGTGTGCAAAAGAATAATTTAAAGAACATTTTAGTAGAAAAAGAATGTTTTTCTTCTCGCAAACTATTCGAATTCGATATAATAGTTCGTGTCGTTAAAGGTAACAGTACCCTTGGCACGAACCAATATCGAATTCGAATAGTTTGAGAGTCCGAAATGTCATTGTCAAATGTGTACTGATTTTTAGTTGTCATTACGTACTTTGTGGCACTGCTGTTCAAGTTTCCATACAAAATTTGACATTGACATTTCGCACTCGCAAACTATTCGAATTCGATAATGGTTCGTGCTAGGGGTACAGATCATAACTAGAAAAAGACCAATGGAGAACTGGTCCTTGAACGTCAAATCAAAGCATACAAACGATTAATCAGAAACAAATTAATTTCGTATAATTACAATATAAAAAACCTTGACTATCGATCGTTCAAACAATCCATCAGACTACAATATTTTGAGCTTTTATAATATTTTATCATAGAAGATTACTTCTAGACCATACTGAAAACAATTGTTGCTGCATTCTCTATATATGTAGAGATGTTTCTTACCTCTGTTCAAATGTCGAATTATTTAAACTTGTATCAGGACTATGTTGAAAGTTCGAACTGTTATCCACAATAGCTTGTTCAAGGTACCACAGAATTGGTACCAAATGCTGTTGTGAAAGCACCTGAAATTATTATATTAAGCAAAATATTATACACAGTCTTTTATATCACAAATAGGCAAGTGTGTAATTAACATTGCAACGCAACAACAACACAAATACCGCAAATATAGTGCTTACCTTTCCCAATCGAAACAGCATTACAACATTTTTATAAGCTGTCAAATCCAGTCTCATAAATCTGGGCACAACCAATTGGAATATGCAAGTGTAAGCTGGAAAGTTTTCAGCAATAAATTGAGTAAAACTTGCATCAAGAATATTTGCATTGCCTTCCTCGTGATTGTTATTCGAAGTTGGAAATCTAAGGAAAAAAAACACAAATTGTTGAGCTATATATTATGAACTTAAGAGTATAGCGGATTTACCGCTCGAATTGGAGCGCCCGTCTGGGGTAGTAACCCCAATCTTACAAAAGATCACAGTAAAAAAAAACACAACCTTTTGGTGATGTAATGATTCTGTTGGTAAGGTTCCAGGACTCCACGGGGCAGGGAATTGGGTCAAGATAAGCACTGGTGTAAATGATATTTCTGGTATCCCAAGCATCTATAGAGGCTACAATGGCCAGTTATCATTAGGCGGGCCATACTCTTGTTTGCCACCGCTTTAACAGAAAAAAAGAACTATAAAAAACTAAGAAAGGATCTGTCTGTGTATCTCTACTGGGAATATTATATTGAGAAAAACCATTTAATATAGTAGTACTCTTGTAACTATAATACCTGTCATTGCTAATAGTATTATCCGTGTACCGCCATGGTTGGATAAGACTCAACCAGAGCTCCATCACGAGTCTAAAAGAAGCATCCAATGGCCAAGTCATCACCAAGTGCTTCACATAATGATAAGCGCGAGTACACATTATTTGGCGAGCGTATTTTCGCAGGGCTGATGACCGTGAAGCGGGGTCAGCGAGATGTTTGGCTGAATATGAATGTAAATGCTTCACTAACACCCTCACTATTCTTACTCTTTCTGGACTCGAACAAACGGTCGGATAACTTCTTTCGTAAGCCTGAAACATTACACGAATTTGATAAATGGTAAAAAAATCGTGTTTTGCTCAATAGAACGCAATGAAAAGAGGTAGGGCGTAGCGGATTATCGGCTCGAATCAGAGCGCCCATCTAGGGTTGTAAGTAAACTCCGCCTTACATGATAAATAAATATTTTCCAACACTCACACCAATCAGCCTAGCCCAAAGTAAGTATTGTAAGGCTTGTGTGTGGGATACTCGGGTAACGGATAGAATACATATACGGTACATATATAAGCATCTTTATATAGAAAAAATATTAAACATCCATGGCTGGAGTACAAATGCTCGTATTTATCACACAAACATCTGACCCCACCGGGATTTGAACCCAGGACCTCTTGAGTTGGCGACACCATGAAACCCGGCGTACAAACCACTCGGCCACGGAGGTCATCAAATCGGTGATACAACACTACCTTTTGGTATTGTTCCTGATGCTGATTAAGGTTCTACTGGGTAAAGCATGGGGTAGGGTTAGATAATGTGCTAGTGATATTCTGTATCCTAAGCACGAACAACTAGTGAGAAAGTTTTCGTATCGCCATCGTCAAAATTTCTGTGAAATAGCTAGTTTCTTCTTGATGTCCGGTACACTGCTTAGTGACGATGGCGATACGAATACGGATCTGTCAATTTCGTGCTTGGGGTACTGGTATCGTAAGCGTCTGCAAGCTATGGTGGCCGCTTACTATATATATTATTATATAGCTTATATATATATATATTATATTACTATATACTTTATATCAGGTGAGACCTCGGTGTGGTGTCGCCCAAGACAACTATGCGTACCGCAAGCTTTTACAGTGGTTCATTAGCCCTTCGTTTTGTAAGCTTGCGAACGGGATGATAGATTGATGTAGAGCGAATATTCTAAGAAGTCCTTCGCCCACAACAGTGTGCATATCTCCAAAACCTTGGTATTAACGGTTTTTAAACTTAGACCAAGTAGAGAGGATACATACTGTCATCGAAAATTGGCCTTTAAAGGATAGGTATTAACAAAAAAGAAGCATCGAGATCTTATGAGAGGTGACATTGAAGGAGAATATGGGCTCCATCTTGTTACAAAAATAAACAAAGACTTTTTGTTTCGAGGGGAACGGGAAGGGTGGATATAAGTATGTAATAATAGTAATAAAAAATTGTTACCTCAACATTTCTAGTGTTGAATTGCTCTACACTCATCCACAAGTCGACAAATATCTGCAAAACTGTTTCTGAGCGCCAAATTTCATTTCGAGTTTGTGTTTGTGATGTGTGTTGGTTATTGATACCAGAGAGATCGGGTACTAATAGGAGCGAAGGAGAATACAGTGGCCTATAAATGAACAATGGTTAAAAATCATATAATTGAGATCTCGAAATTTTATAACACACAAAGGACATTGGGCAAAAATGTATGGACGCTGCACCCACGTCCGCCACATAGTCATGATCATCTGTGCAGAAGCTCATCAAATTCTATCCCGGGGGGTCTTTAGTTCATCATCATCATCATCATCAACAGCCTATCCTAGTCCACTGCTGGACAAAGGCCTCTCCAATTGCACGCCACTCAGATCGATCTTGGGCTACTCGCATCCAGCTCCTGCCAGCCACCTTGCGCAAATCGTCACTCCATCGTACCTGAGGATGTCCTACACTACGTTTGCCTAGACGCGGTCTCCACTCCAGAACTCGTCTACCCCAACGGTTATCGGTTCTTCGGCAAATATGGCCAGCCCACTGCCACTTCAACTTGCTAATCCGGTGGGCTATGTCGATGACTCTGGTTCTCTGTCGGATTACCTCATTTCTGATGCGATCCTTCAGAGAAACGCTGAGCATAGCCCTTTCCATAGCACGCAGAGCGACTTTGAACCTGTGGACCAGCCGTACCGTCAGTGTCCACGTTTCGGCTCCGTATGTCATTACAGGTAGGACGCACTGATTGAAGACTTTCGTATTTAGGCACTGTGGGATCGACGATGTCAGGACTTGACGTAGCTTCCCAAATGCTGCCCAACCTAGCTGAATTCTTCTATTCACCTCGTCCTCAAAGTTGTTTCTACCTAACTGCAATGTCTGCCCGAGGTATACATATTTTTGAACAACTTCGAGAGCGGCACCGTGTATTGCAATCGGTTCCGGTAGTACGTGTTCATTGAACATGACCTTGGTTTTATCCTAGTTCATCCGTAGGCCGATGCGTATAGAAGACTCAGCCAGGTCATACAGCATTTTTTGTAGGTCCTGCAGGGTCTTTAGTTATTTTAAGTTAAATAGGTAAAAGTACTATAATGAACGAACATTAATGAAACAAGGGAATTAATTTGTCTTCTTTGTAAAACGGAGCAATCATAAATCCCAAACTTGTCCACGCTTCGGAGAAAACATGATTCCAGTTATCCATACTAATTGACAAAACGTGTTAGATAAAAATCAATCAAGTGACAGGGAGCGCACAATCTCAACGAAGTAAGACGAGTCGACTATTTTGCAACTGCAATTCCTTCAACCACCGTAAACCGTTTTGAGGTATCTCAGTAAGTGGAAGCGCAGGATGGTCGGCAGGCTTTGGCTTATATCTGGTTATATAGTACGATATGGCATATTATTATGGTTACTAATAATATAAAGTAAAGGTACTATAAAATGAATTTATTTAGCTACTTAAATATGTCCATGTGTCATATCTTTTGACTACCGGGATATTCACTGCGGGATTTAGGGGAGGGCAACCGGGGCGAAAGCCCCGGGGCCTCCACTAATGGGGGGCCCCCACAATTCTTCTGACTTCGGAAAAAAAATCTTAATTCCAACTAGTAAACATCTTTTCCTTTGATATTTTTTTTTGCTCTTTTACCTTTACCTACAGTACTTTGTACATCTAACCAGGGCCGAATTTAAGGCAGGGCAGGCGGGGCTGTGGCCCAGGGGCCTCCACAACAGCTTAAGAAATAACAACATTTCGATGGGTCAAAAAGCATACAAATCCTCAGGGCGGGATTTAGGATTGTGGAGGCCCCGCCTCCACAATCCTAAATCCGGCCCTGAGGATATTATATACGGTGTCATATCTTTTGACTACCAGGATATATTTTTACGGTGTCATAATAAAAAATTCAAAAGACTATTTTTTCATAGATCTATCGATTCATACTCATTACATTGTTGGCGGAGCTGGGTGTGTTTTGCCCATTGTCCTTTTAGTACAATTTCTACCTGTTTTTAGGCTGTAGTGGTGCTGCCATTGGTACTTTTCCTGTATAGTTTGGTATGTGAGGTAAGACAGGAACATTTGGGTCAGAAGGTAAAAAGTGCATCAGGTAGTCACATGCTAATGCAAAGTACACACTGTTCCAATTCTCCCATGAGTTTTTATTTACGCTATTATTAACCAAGTACAATGCAAAGTTGATTATGTAATAATCAAATGGATCTGTTATGGAATAAAAGAAATTAATCTAAACTTCAATTCTTCATTTTATATTCTAAATATTTAGCTTTTTGTTTTGAATTTTAAATGTCTTAAATGCGTACTGTTCGACTAATCATCATCAGAATCATGATGAATCATGTTGATCTGATACTGTGAGTATTGTGTGTCGGGAACAGGTGCGAGTGAATAGTGAGAATGTGACCAATGGTAGGGGTATCGAGCGCAGTAAAAGACGACGTCAGAGGGTAGACCGATATGTCTGCCAATAACATTTACCCGCAATTACTTCAGTTACTCCGTGATCATAGCGCTTGCAACAGTGCCGAAATATCGGAGACTCATAAAAAACAAGGTACATGGTAACAATCCCGTTAATACCTATAATCATCAGAATCAGTCTATTAATGTCTACACTGCTGCGACACAGGCCTTCCCTTTGAATGAAATAGGGAAGATTGGATCCTGATAACCAATCACGCTGGCTGCTATTAAATGCAGATACAGTCGGGACATACGGCTTAACGTACTTTCCGAAGCACTGAGCTGAAGTTAGTAAATTAGTAAAACTTTTAATCGTAAGTAATCGTCGAACGGACGCGCTCACAGCACCATATAGAGCTCCTCTATTAGCTATTATGATTTATTTGAAATTTGAATTTAGAATGTGTGCATAAAGTTGCAAAAAGTGAGAGAGTAGACTGTAGACTCTACAGTAAAGTTTCCTTTACAGTGTAGAGGAATACTTTTTAATTCAAAATAAGGAGAAGCATATCAATTTTTCCTTGATATATAAATATTATTCTACATTTCGAAGAAAATATAAATAGCAATAACTAATGACATTTCTAAACATTCGATCTTTTGTTCCTATAAAAACATTGTGGTCTCTGTACTCGAGAATATTTGTACTTTACCTCTGTTGTAGTGAAATTACTAAATATTAACATATGGTGGTGGTGGTCACATAATTAAAGACACTCCCTAATTGACCACAAAAAAACTTACTTATGGTACTTAAATTAGCTAAAATTGGTATTTAATCTAGTGTAATTGTTATTAAACTATACACGACGTTGTATTCTTACAATGTGGGACAAAAAATGGTTGTGTTCGTTAGTAGTTTAGACACTGCTCACTATGGGAACATAACACAAACTTTTTTGCTGGCCAGCTAATTAAAGACGGTAAAAGCTGTGTTCTGAATTAAAAAAAAAATAAGAAAATACTGCATTCTGTTTTTCTTTGTATTGCCGCGTATTTTTATGGAACGTCGATATTACATAAAACCTAATTTTTTAATTAAAATTAAGACCTTTTAAACCCAGCAATATGGGAAAAAACAAGAGTTGCGATTCGTCCACTAGGAAGATTATTTTCAACTTACATAATAAAGATTGGTCATACAGAAAACCTACAAAACATTTCAAGAAGTTCAACACGACCGAAAACGTACTAAGAAAACCGAGACCAAGAAAAACTACTGTGCGGGAAGACTAAGATGGTGTTGTTGGCAAAAAAAGATCCGTTCAAGGGATCAGAACTGATACGTTCGGAGTTGTTTGGTGCAGGAGGGTCGAAGGGTGTGTCTGCAAGAACAATTAGACGAAGACTATGTGAGGCAAAATTGTATGGAAGTGTCTTGGAAGGTGCCACTTTTGAAAAAGCAAAATGTTAAGGCAAGATTAGCATTTGCTAAAAAATATGTACACTGGACTGAATGAGAATGGAAACATGTGGTTTTCTCTGATGAAATAAAAATGATAAGGATAATGATCCGAAACACACTGCAAAAGTAATAAAAGACTTTTTAAGGAACCAGTCTGTGACAGTTTTGGATTGGCCCCCATACAGTCCTGATTTCAGGACATTTCATTTTCATTGTTAGGTGAAGAAGACAGTGGCGACAAAACAGACATCAAACATCGATCAACTTTACACAGCCTTAAGAGAAGCTTGGAAGCAAATTCCGGTGGAAGTCTGTAAAAAATTAATTGCTTCCATGCCCAAGAGGTGTCATGCTGTCATTTGTACCAAAGGTCATGCGACCAAATATTGATACGTACCGGAAAGGTTTATAAATGTGTTAGGAATATTGTGTAATAAAGATAATTTCAATAATAACAATATTTTTTTCTATTTCTTCTAAGCAAATCAAGTGTCTTTAATTCCCGTTCCCGCCGTTGAATACCGACCTACCTACAAAAGCGCAACGTAGTGAGCAAGTGCAGTCTCAAGTCTATCCATATCATAAAATCTATTATAACCTATTTATTATAAATATTGGATATTTTTGAATCCTGCCTTCGAAGCATTAATTTTTATTTTCTTGTTTCTTGAAGAGCAATGTAGTGCAGTTTTACCATACTTAGTGAGACAGCTAAAACTATAATAAAGATCATGCCATTTAAAAAGATAGTATAATAATGAGGGTAATGAAAAGAAAAATTAGTAACCAAAAAAATTTGTTGGTGACTTTAGTATGTTCTTTGTGTGTACCTATTTTTCTTTTAGTAATGACAGCTATTTATTTTTTAGTAATATGGTAGATGAAAAGCTAATAACCATAATTTTGAATTACCTAATTTAAACACTTTTTACTAAACATTTTAATTTTTCGAGTATGTGTAATTATTGTAAAGGATACTGAGGGCTAAAGCAACAACATTCAATGATTGCGAATCCATTGTCAGCATATCCGCATAAAACTGAGAATATCTTCCTCTTTCAAGAGATATTTGTAAATCAATCTGAAATTTAGAAAAATTTGATTAAATATTACATATTCTAATTTGTTGGGATGAAAATAAAATATTTTAGGAACATATTTAAAATTTAATTAACCAAAATCCTAGCATGGAGGTCTTAATCATATTAATATAATAAATGTGAAAGTGTATATATCTAACTCAGGAATAGCTGAACAGATTTGGGTGAAAATTTACAAACATACAAACTTTTTATTTGAGGTAACTTGTATAAATACTACAGAACATTGGTTAAAAGAGCCATAGACATACAACCATAAAATATATTAATACTATATTATTACCGGCAACAAATTTAAAGGCAAACTGTATTTTAATTGAGGATCTGACAACAGTTTGTAACACAAGCGAAATATTGGTCCTTGTGGTTCAAAAAAATTAAGTAATAATTCAAATTCATATCTATTAGCATCAAATGTTAAGGATCTCAAACCCCAGCCATTATTGAATGTTGTAGAAAATATACTGCTGATGAGTTGAGGAAACAAGGCTTGTAAATCTTTATTTGGACTAGATTGATCTATTAGCCTTGTCAATTCATTGATCTTATCTTGAAGTGGTAGGTTGAGACACATGTAGAATTGACTCTGAAAGATAATATAGCTATGTTATTCTCAAATTTCAAACGGTTTAAATTCCCTGAAACACCAGCATTAACACAGATGACAAATAATAAATGTACATAAACAGGCTTCACAATACCCAATTTTAAGGGCCCAATCGAAAGGGTGAGCGTCGCCTCTAGATAGGGTGGTAGCAATTTTACACCGCACTGATCGCCCTAGATCGGGTCCCTCACTCACATTACACCACCCTTAGTCAGGGTAAGGGTCTCTTAAAATTGGGTAAGTAGTGTAAATCTCGCATTAGCTGTCTATCTCATATTAAAAACAGTTGTTAGGTTTTGTACAGATGTGTTACACATTACAGAAAAGAGCTCAATAGCAATATCTTGTGTTTGATAATAGGATTTGTAGAGAAGAAACTACATCCACAAAGTTTGGGTGAACAAGTAAAAAGCCTATTGAGGGCAGTGTCATCATAGAAACAAAGCTACAAAACAGTTGAATTACTCAATTGATTAAAATATTAACGTCGTTTCCAGGAGATAGTAATAAACTGAACAGTAGCATGCAAATCTTTGTTTTGTAATCATGTCTAGGTTGTTAATTCCTAAACTTACCATCAAATCCTGGGCCATGTTTGAATATTGGTAACAAATATCAGGTATTATTAAAACTTAACTATAAACAGTCATTTATTATTTTTTACAGTTGCTGGACCGGCGTAAGTTTTTTTTTTGGTTAAGTCTCCCTTTTCAGGGAAGGCAAGGGGAACAATGCCCATACAGCCTGGTCTTAGTAAAATTATTCTTTTTTTCTTTTTACGTTAGAATATCGGTGTGACGCATTCTAATGTTTCTTGAAGTGTTTGGCACGAAATGTATCGAGCTGGCTTTTTCGATAAGCTTCTGTGAGGTAGTCAATACTACAATAAAATTCTCACGTCCACTTGACCGGAATAGCGTATATTTTGACGATTCTACTAATTCTTCAGTTACGCAGACAGTTGTAACACAAAATCACACCAATTTTATTTCACAATATCCACTATGAACGCATTTATGAATAATTAAAATAAGACGCCAACCACACTCGATGAAATCCCGCCAAAAACTCATCTTTTTGTTTTTTTCTTTTCTTTTTTTTTCTATATGGCTTCGCACGGTTTGTGTATTTAGCCAATGTCAAGTCTAAAATGTTTACATATTCTATAGCACTCGTGGTCAAAATATTAGTCAAGTCTAAGTAAGTGGCAGTCAAGACAATCCCCCTTTCCCTATATTTCAGTAAATGTGTGGGGATTTACTGGAACCTCCCCGTGGTTTGATTCACTTGCCAACACTTGTGCATGTTTCCGAACACTTACACCCATATTCTTAGGCGCGTCCTCAAACGTTCCTCGACTCTAATTCATTCGAGGGCTCCTTAAGGAGTTCCTCCAAATAACCTCGAAAATGATATTCTAGTAGGTATCTTGAACAAACTTGAGAATTCCTCCACTGAGAGTACAAACAGAGGTATAAAGCATAAAAGCATAGACATATTATGTGTGTAAAATAAAATATCACACAACAAACATAGGTAAATACCTACTTGAAATAATCCTGTCACGTAAAACGTCAAAGCCACCAGTAATTGTATTAAAGGCAGTACAGGGGGCCAATCGCCTAACTGGATTGCTTTGGAAAACGCTATCGCTTACGATTTCATTTTGTTATTTCTAGCCCCCTGAGGTTTTCAAATGCCTCGCGCTCTTTTTTTTTCTTTTGCATTGGTAATAACAATGTTAAAGAAAATGAGCGTGAGGTATTTCGGCGGTTAGAAATAACAAAATGAAATCGTAAGCGATAGCGTTTTCCAAAGCAATCTGGTTAGGCGATTGGCCCACAGGTAGTAATCTGTTATTACAATTTAGTGTAATGCTTAGCAGAGGAAATATTACTTGTATGAATGTATCTTTCTAAACCGAAATCTTCTTTTTAACGAATCATTGTCGTAAACCTCAAAAGGATTTGCGGCGTCACGGAAATACCGTCGAGCCGGATTATATAGTTCATCATCAAAATCTCAAAAAACAACATGAAAACACCTCAAACACCACTCGAGGAAGCCTTAAGGTACGTCGAGAGCTACCTTGAGTTTGACAGTTTATTCCTCGACTCGACCTCAACTCGAGTGAGGAATATCTCAAGTGAAGGATATTTTTATTGTCTAAGCATACGAATTTCCTCGAATGAGGTTGAGTCGAGTGGAAAAAATCTCGAGGAAACGACTAAGAATATGGGTGTTAGTGGTTAATAATTCACCATTATTAGACTCTAACATCCGCCACAACACAATTTTTAACAAGAAAAACAAAACTGCTAAAGTGACGCTTCCCGATCCCGCCAAAAAGTCCCGGCGTAAGTTGTGTGTGTGCTCAAACAAAATTAGTGTTGCGCAGTAAAGTAACAGAGTGGACTATCGATGGAATCGACGTTTTTTGTTTCCTGACAGGCGGGGGGAGCGTGTGTGAAATCCTTATGCATACCCTATAGCCGGCTGCAAGGTTATGTCAGACTCATACTGACTAAAACACACCACTAGTACATGCTTATCGCTGGAAGGGCCTCACAAGCTTCATTTGAAGCGATCTTCCCCTGAGAAGAGGACGATGCAGGGATGGAATCGAAATCAATACCTTGGTAAATAGCCAAAGGTCTATCAATTGTAATTGTTTAATAATATATTTAAACATAAAAATGTATAAAAATTAATAACTAGATCAAAATATTATTTTCTGTAATTGCAACATTAATAAGTCGTAGACTATTGTAACTACATCCGTTTCCGTCTTGTCTATACCAAGAAAATCCGTGCATAAAGTTGTCTCCTTGAAATAAATTAATTTTGAGTTTAAAAATATTCCGCTGCATTTAATTTATACATGCAGACGTTGGTCCTTCGAAAAATAATAAGATTGTCGAATAGTAATCGCGTTCCAGTGCAATTTGTGGATTACAAGTCAGTATCGCCGTCGGCCATAGCGTGGTTGCGCCGCGCATATTTCGTGAGAAACCATACTTTCTCCGAAACAGCAGAAGCTACAAAGGCTGACAATACGATTTAGAAGATTCTTTCGAAGTTTGGTATGGTTTAGAAATTCAATTTCATATTTTTCAAGATTTTCTACAAATCGAGGTAGTTGCAAAAAAAAGGGCGGTAAGCGAACATCAAGTTAGCAAGAAAATCCGTGCTATAAAGTTGTCTCCTTGAAATAAATTAATTTTGAGTTTAAAAATATTCCGCTGCATTTTATTTATACAGTAATCAAAAATTCAAAATGTCGATTTCACAACTATCCTGTACCTTTTTTCAAATAAAAAAAATACTGCTTAGAGTCTGTGTGGAAAGAAAATGGGCGTGGCGAAAAACAGAACTAACATTAAGATTTTTATTTGACAACAATCAAACCCATGTCGTGTTTATTATGTTGGTACTATTGTCAAAATGTGACAATTTACCGCCATTAATGAGATCTGTCAGTCAGTGTTTGTGTTCGTCGCAGTTAAGAGCTTTTTCGTACTCCTGTTGATATTAACATCGTCTGACTACCATGGCATCCTCAAAGCCTTCGGCCTCGAGTTCTGCTGTCCCGTCGCCTGAAGAGTCGAGTGTAGTGCGAGTTTTGGACTCTAATGAGCCACTTGTGTGGTGATACTTCACACTAGGTTAGGTTAGGTTAGTGTTGTGACCTTAACGCGCGAGCCGAGCGAGCGAAGCGAGCGTGCCGCGGCAGCGGCCGGCGAAGCGCCAGAGAGAAAAATTCGTTAATAGAGACTTTTTTTACAAAAAAATCAAATATCACCTCTAGGCCCTGGAAGTACAGTTTTACCTATAAACCCCTCTATTTTTTTATAATTATCATTTCTGTAAAAAAAACGACCCTTCCCTCTGAGGGGTCTTCCCTAATACCTATCCCCCTGAAATTCCACTACATATAACAGATTTAATGAATTTTTAGGTTAGGTAAAAAAAAAACTGCATTTCCGCCAAAAATCTTTTATGGCGGGGGGGTCGGGGGGAGCCCCCCCTCCCCCTCCCCTACAAATTACCCCGAAATTCAATTACATATAATGGATTTAAGTACCCAGGGCACTACTGACGTACTTAAGACAGTCGCCCGCAGAGATTCCTACGAGGAGGCTGTGTCGCTCACCACGAAACTAATCCAGTTCTCACTAAGGTTCGCGTGGCACCATGTTTGGTCGGCCGATTACCGAACCAGGGGGATGAAGATGGCACTCTGCCATGCCCCTTAGTTTTAGTGTTTATTTTTTGTCGTGGCCTTCTGCCCATAATATGTAAATAGTAAAAACTTAATCTCGCGGCCATCGTGCGCGCGCGTGGTGTGACATGTGGTCGCCCACGCTCTCCGGCTCTTCGCGTCTTCGGCTTCACCGATGGGCTCAAATGCCCATGAGCTCCCTCCGCCTGCGTGCTTCCTGCTGAGGACTGCGGCGTCAGCCCGTAGACCCCTACCGTCAGGGTGCAGCATGCTGTGACGTCAAGGGTTGACGTCCGGAGGCATCACCGTCATCGTCGCTTCGTTCAGCGAGGGAACGTGGTTTCACCAGTGATGTGTGTCAAACCTTGAGTTCACGTATTTTCTTTTTTTCGCGAGTGCGCACGCGTCTTTTTCGTCGCCACGTGTCCCATCTGGACTTTAATGACTTTTTGGGGTCGATATATTATTATATACCATCATCGGTAGTATATTATGAGAACAATTGTTTCGCTGCGGGCCGCCGCCATGTAATCCGCGAGATTAGTTAATATAAATTGCATGTACCAAAACCGCCATCTTTGATTTGTTCTCCCATGCTACGGCCTTTGTACTTCAATAGTTCATTGCTGTAGCCGAGACTTTTATCCCGGTACCTTATCAGCTGGGTGTTAGCTGAAATAACACTTGCTCGTATGTAAGGAGGTTCCGTACCATTAAATAGTAAAAGTAAAGTAAAATATTTCCATTTACAAACAGATTACAAATTACATACATATTAACATACGACATCCCCTTTTACATACGACATCCCCTTTTACATACGACACCCAGCAATCTGTAAAACGTCTAAGTTTTGTATTGATACGGATTTGTTGGTTGTTGTGATTTCTTGCGGTTTTTTGTATTTAATCATGTCTAAAAGGGGTAAAACCTTACAAATACGGTAGAAAAGCACTACAGCGCCCTCCACTCTAAATCCCATTCTCTTTCCGCACAGACTCTATCCTGTTTTTTGCCAGAAGTTATTACCGCCTCCGGCCTGCTGCACACATCTATGTAAAATAAAATCCATAATGATGGACGTCAACCACATTTCATTTCACCCAAAACTGTACGTCCCGTTAACATTAATACAATTCTAACATTTACCGACAAACCTGGCTTTTTGTGTTTATGTAAATTCATTAAAAAATACAATATTAAACTCTAACTTTTATTAACCCTTCTATTTTTATTTGGATGTAAATGTCGGCTCTACCCATGTCATATAAATTAATATTGTTTAACCTGTGACGTCTTTGTGTTTGTTTGTTATGTTGTGCTTTCAGAAAAGTGAAATACTCAAGGAAGAAAGTATAATCGGTTATTTAACGGTTTCTACCGAGCAGTCTTTCTCGTGTCTCTCTCACTACCTACTGGACATTGGCGAAATTTCTGTGCAAAACGGAGAACGCCACAGAAAGAAGAAAAAAAAAATTATAAATTGTATATAGGTGTTTGTTTAGGGGAGAATGACCAGTCAGGGATCCTATAATCTTGCGAAGTTTGTCCCTATTTAGTCTGGTAAAGGTGCGGGCAAAACTTTTATTTACCGCCGGAACCGCGTTTTTCGTTTGCCGGCATCCTTCACCTGTTTTCCACTCCATCAAGTGTGATTTATGAGTTATTTCACGCAGCCATGTTTTAATTTGGGCCTGAGGTATGGGCAGCAAAGGCTCCGGACCATACATCTTTGTGTCTGCTCCCCTCTTAGCCAGTTCGTCTGCTGCGTCGTTTCCAATTGAGCTGCTGTGTCCTTTTATCCATTGCAGAGTTACAGAGTTAGTTGTTAACCGCAATGGATTGAAGTGCCTTGTGGCACTCCATTACTAGGACAGAGTTTATTGTGTTGCTACGTAGGGCTTGAAGCACGGATGCACTGTCAGAGATGATCTTG